AAATTTTATCAAGCATCTCTTTCTGCATTTTGTTCCACTGAAAAGGTTTTCATAACAGCACGTATCGGACAACAGGAACCAATATATCCTTCATAGACCTTAACATCGGTCAATAACATTGTCCGACTGATATCTAAAAAACAAAAAGAGTCAATTGATGTGTTATGCAAACCAGATACTGGACTCAAAGATTGCACCCACCCACTCCAGTAAAAGTCAATGGCCTGGCCAATAAGCTGATAAAGTTATCAGAGTTTGTCTCCATGTGAGCACTTCTGCTCTCCCCATAGACTTCACAGTGTGGTAAAAATACAAACTTTTTGCAAGTGTTTTTTACAAATATGAAACCTATGTGAATTAAAAAGTCATCATAGAAAGAGCAAAACGGAGCTTATTGGTAGTTCAAGGTGTCCTTTTTTATAATAGCTGGCTATAGAGAAATGCTTTTTGAGCAGCAATACCAAAAGAATAAACTGGCAGCAAGGAAAGCAGCAGTAATGTATTCAGCTCTCATTTACTGCAACCTAAAGTGCTTCACTATTTTATGAAATTAATAGATTTTTTTGGTGTTTAAAAAAAATTAACTTGAGTAGAAAGACTACAGATGGAGAAGGTAGAGAAGGAAAGTTGGAGAGAATTAGTAGTTGTTGGTTCTGGTCTTTTTATTGGATTTGGTGTCAATACCACAAAATGCAGAACATCACTAGCCTTAAGCTTCCAGTCCTACACTGCGTTAAGTCTGATGAAATGGTCTGAAATGGGAGCCGTAGGCAGCGCAGACCGCCTGTGTTGTTGTCAAGACAAACTGAAGTCTCCCTCCGCACTGCTGCTTATGTCCACAGTTAGCTTCAGGGTCATGACTTTACTCCACTACCCAGAGTTCTTTGCAAAGACTTGGCACCACGCCTCGTTGCAGTATGATGTGCGTAAGTTCTGACGTCGACACCATCGCATCCCCGACTTTTACAGCCAAATATGACATCGCTGGGTAAGGAGGGATTTCTAAAGGAAACTCAAAAAAAATGCTTAGAGGAGACATCAAAGTCATTAAAGTCTGTTTCATGCTTTCATCCACCTGAGCTGTTGCTGGACCTTTAGTGATCCCTCTGGATCTTCAGAACCGATCTATGGATCCAGTTTGTTTTCATTTCAGACTGGGCTAATCTCGCAGTGAAGAGATGAATCTAAAAGTTAACTCTGGTCAGGAAAGATGAAGGGAAATAGGATCAAACCCATCCTCAGCCCCTCAGTTCTTTGCTGAAGTTATTCTACATTAAAAAAAAAAAGAAGACTTCCACCTCCGTCCTCGGGTTTTCCACCTTAAATGACACGAGTAGGAGACTTGAAGACAACACGCACTGAATTGAGGAAGGAGTCGCAGTTCAGTCATCACATGAAGGGGTGGGAGCTCCTCAGAGTTCAGTCGCACCGTGGGGGCAACGGGAGTCATTAACCAGTCATCTACCTCACAGCTTCTCCCTGTATTTACGTTGCAGTCTCTCCTCATCAGCAGTTGTTTTGCACACAGCAGCCTCTCTACCTTCCAGCGCCTATTTCCTCCTTTAACCATCATTGTTTTTCCATTAAGCACTGCTGAAAGAGCCAACAGGGAGAGAGGGAGAGAGAAAGGAAGTGGGTGAGAGAGAAATCAGTAACACAGCAGTGCCCTGACCTCCAGGCCTCTCTGGTCACACTGTGGGCGTTTATATACTCGAAAGTTTACTCTTTCCATGGAGACAAAATGAAAACAAACCGAGCGCTGACGAAGTGAGAAAGTAACATTCTGAAACCTTCTCAGTTTGCATGAGGTGTTTTTCTACTGTCTGACAGGCTCTTTGGAAAAACAGATAAGCACTGAACCTACTGCTTGACCGTCTGTCTGTCTGTTCGTCTGTCTGTCTCTCAGTCTATCACATGAGCCAGAGTCATATATAGAGACTCCTCCTAGTTTGGCCAACTGCAGCACTGATCTCCATTCAGCTACCTGATCATCCACCTCTCATAATCACAGTTTGGGCTCCAGTCGGTGTTGCAGTAAAGCTTCTTCTCTGTTGATCTCATTTGGCCAAACTGTCTCTATGTAGGGCTCTGCCTGCCTCTGCCTGTCAGTATACTTGCATTGAACTGTCTCTGTTTCTTTTGAGCTCATGCTGCTTCTTTTCCTCTGTTTGGGCTTTGGGGGAAGGGTGCATGGACCAACTGCCATGGCAAAGGAATGTGTTTATGCACGCATACACCATACACTGCATAATGCACCTTGAAGTACACTCATAGAACTCACTCTGGTGTGTGTTTGTGTGTTTGTGTGAGAGGCAGAAAGAGAGCGTAAGTGACAAAGATCTGATTCAGCATGACCTGGCTGCCTCTCTGTGTGTGACAGGGCTGACGCCCGAGCTTCGCTCTGGCCTTTGAACCAATCACCTTCTGTTTCTAGTAATCTAACCAATCACACTCTGTTCTAACCTGCTGATTCTCTGTGATGTCACTTTTCTGTTTTGCAAGATTTGTTTTTTTTTTATATCCCGCAGCAACTTCATCATCAGCATTATCATCATTTCAATCACTCTGCTGTCTCTCACTGCTGCATGGCCGCAGTACACTTTGCACACGTGCATGTGCGTGCGTGTGCGTGCGTGTGTGTGCGTGTGTGTGTGTGTGTGTGTGTGCGTGTGTGTGTGTGTGTGTGTGTGTGTGTGTGTGCGCGTATTTGTTCACACACAGAGATGCTGACTGACTCACCGTCTGGCTGTCGATGTGTTTTTGAGTGTCTGAACCGGCTCTTTAACAAACAGCACCCATGACTGACAGCTGTGCGATGCATGCAGACGTCCTGCTCCGAGCAGCACGATGTGGAGACGACTCAGCTGCTGGTTCCCATAGTTACACCGCTGCTGCATGCATGTTTGTGTGTTTTCGTGTGTGTGTGTGTGTGTGTGTGTGTGGTCACTGCTATAGGTTCTTGCGAATTTTCTTATTTTCTCGTACATTAAACTAACACACTCACCATTCCTGCTTCTTCTCCATTTGTGCCTAACAACCACCCTCATCTGTGTGTGCATGCATGTGATCCAGTGTGCAGAGGTATGAGTGTCTCCCACGTATCACCACCCAACACACACACACACACACACAAACATGCCACGTATGTGTGATGTAAAGCGTTTGCAGCTTCTGTGGTCTTTGTGATGTGATTTTGGCTACTGATTGCTCTCGTCTTGTGAGGTCTGATTGAGGTGTGAGAACTGACAAAAAAAAAAACATGTCATCAGCCAACTCATTTTGAAACACTGTTTTTTTTTCTCCCCACTTTTGTCTGTTGGAGACTCACAGGATCAGGTGGATGCTGAGTTGACACTGAATTAGTCAAGATATTGGTGTTGTCAAGGTTACAGAAATATAATTACAAAGTGCCATCAGTATCTTCACATGTGGTCGGTGCAAAATAAGTGAGGGCAAATCCAGTTTACCTCATAAAAGAATAACACTGCGGAGACATGATTTATCTCCACAGTTTAAGAAAACCCCATCATACAGCGTCTCAGCATTGTTTTAGTTTAACTCATGAAAAAATGTCCAGTTGAACAAAGTTGTATTATTGGTGTATCCATTTATCCAAGTTGTTTTGCCCCACTATAACCACTTTTTAACCTTTTTAGTGGTAAAAGCTATTGGCTAAATGTATGCTTTTATCATCCTTATAGTGAGGAGGACACTTTCTATGATACATATTTTTCAGAACTTTGCCGTTTGCTTTCCAGCCGAGAGCATAAACACTGAAAGTCCACCTTCCAACACATCACTGGGTTATCCTTAAAACTAAGTAGTTTCTAGAAGTGTTTAGCACGTGAGCATCTGTAAAACCTCAACTTGTCAGTTTTTGTTATTCAAATTAAACAGATGAGACTTGACGTGTTATTTTGTTGGCTTTAAAAGTGTTGGATGTTACTTTCAGGCTGAGCTCCTGCTTCCAGTTTTTATGCTAAGCTATGCTAACTGTCTGCTGGCTGTTAGTTTTGATTAGTTTATTTGTTAATTTTTGCAGGGACAGCGCACAATAAAAAGCAATTGCAGCAGAGTTAGCTAGCAGCTAATTAGCATCAGTTGTTCCCTGGCAGGTACATCAATAAAGGGCAACCATTGGTGGCGATTGGCTGGAGCTTTAGATTTAACATGAGAATGTTTTTTGGGGGGCATTTATTTGACAGTAAAGGTTCAGGAGAAACAGTACATGTGAGGAAATGGAACTCCCCAAAGATTAGATTTTTTTAGAACCTTAAAGTAGTAATTTAGCTTTTTGAAAAGTTGCTTTCCTTTGCCTTAGTAGCTAAGGTTAAATATTTGCTGGTTAGCCCGTAATAGCATTAAGGCTAAAAGCAGGGAAATAGTTAGCCTCCACCTAAAAACACTGGAATGCATTGGTGGAAAATAGATATTTCATCTAGACAATGTTGTTGGAGGATTTTGGAAGGCAAAAGTGTGTTTTTAGTCTCGACGCTAATCGATCTGTCTGCTGGCTCTAGTTTCGTATTTGACCCACAAACATGAAAATGGCATCATCTTTCTAGCTGAATATTCTGACTCACCAAATGTTGATTATGGGTACAAGCCTGCCGTTGGCTGGGTCTAATTTGGCATCAATGGACATTTCTCAAATTTCTGCACCGTGCTTTTGCCCCAAAACATTCTTGCAGATTGGTGCTGACACTTTAGTTTAATCCAGCCTGGAAGATTTTTTTATCTTCCAGAATCAGATTTTTTTTTTTAAAAATCAAAAATAAACTGAAAAACCTATTATAGGTGACTCTGAATAAACTGTGATAGTAACCACCTGGCCCTGAGTGTCTACCTGTCGGTCTGTTTGTCTGCTGGAGGACACAAGTCTGTCTGTCTCTGGGTTTCCCTTGTCTCTGCATTTCCCTTTCTTATGTCTGACTTTCTCCTCTCTCTCTTTTTTTTTGTGGTCTCTCTCTCTCTCTCTCGTCTTCCCTCCTTTCCGACAGATGCGAGTGGTGAAAGCATTCCGTAGTTCGCTGTATGAGGGCCGGGAGAAACCGGAATCCCGCAACTCCATCCACAACTTCATGGCCCACCCAGAGTTCCTCATCAATGACCTCATCCACAACATCCCGCTGATCGACGACACTGACGTGGACGACGAATCAGAGCTCAGCAGATACCAGCACCTGCACCCGGCCCTCCGCAAGCCGCCGCCCCCTCCCGCCCAGCCCCCGGCCCGCACCCGTCCCACCCGCCCTTACCGCCAGTACAGCCTCCCGGTGACCCCGTGCAACCGAAACAACAACAACAACAGCAGCAGCAGCAGCAGCAGCAGCAGCATCAACTCAATGGTCACCCACGGCAACAAAAGCAACAACCGGAGCCCCCACCATCACCACCACCACCACCAACAGCACCACCACCACAACCATCATGGCAGGGACCGGCCGGTGAAACCCTCCGCCCCTCACCTGGCCCATCTCTACTGTGTGGAGACCTCCTTATAACTGAGCAGAACGTGGGTTTTGTGGGGGAGGAAGGGAGTCTTGGGGGAGGGGGAGGTAAAGGGTGAGAGCGAGAGAGGGCTGAGGAAACTCACATGACATTTTCATCCGATCTCCCCCGACAACGAGCTCACAGGAGGGCGTGAAGGACGAGGGAGGCACCTGGAGGGAGTGGACAATGGCCGGAGACTTCTGCTCGCAGCTCCCTAAGAACATTGCGACTTTCCCTCCCTTTGCCCTTTGCTCCAGCCCTCCAAGTCTGACTCCCCCAACCCTCCCCCAACTCCCCTCACCCCTGACTCCCCACCACCCTACCCTCCACCCGACCCGGCGGTCTGCCGCCTTCCCCGAGGAACACCACCCGGCCTCGCCCAGCGCCGCCCCCCCCCAACCTCACGCACCCTCACCACACACTGCGTTTTTGCCCCGAGCCGTGGTCGGACTGGGGGAGGTATTGGGTGGGGGGGGGGATGACAGATGCACCGGGAAAACCGGGAAAACATCCTTCAATGCTTCAGCAGAACAGGGCCACATGGCTATGGGGGCTGACTCACTCTATTTCTATTGGTGTTCATCATTAGTGTTGTTGTCACCCACCGACCCACCCACCATTTATCTGGCCACTTTAAAGTCACTGCTTTGCTTGCGATATAAGTAAAAAAAAAACAAAACAAAACAAAAAAACAAAACGCTTTGTTAAAGCTTTAAACTAGACTTCAGTCATTTCCATCTCGGATTTTATTTCACGACATAATGGTGCTCATTCATTTTATTTCTTTTTACATCGCTCGATTTATTTCTTCTATATCTCTCTCTCTGAAATTTTTTAGAGATTTTATTCTTTTCTCCGTCACCCCTCTCTCTCTCTTTCAGTGTGTGTATGTGTATTGTCTTGTCTCTTCTGAAGAAAAAACTAACAAAAATGTAACAAAAACAGAAATTGCAAACAAAGATGCTGTTCATTTAAACCTATTAGTAAATAGAATGGCTGCAAAAAAACAACTAAAGGATGGGGGGGGGACACACGTATACATCTCTCTCTATATATGTATATTATATATATATAGATAGATAGATATGTGTGTGTATATATATATACGTATATGTATATATAATTTGAATGTTTGGGAAGCAACAACACTGAACTTTTCATCGCCGTTCTTTCTCCCGCCCGGTCTCTGAATGCCTCCCCATCATGACCTGTTACCTGTACAACAGCTATGAGATGTGGGATCTCATATTAATTTGGATGTATGCATTCGTTAGCCCCATACAGCACAACACCTGATTTGCAGCCTCCCGCCATGTCGACGAACTCATGAGTGTGTGTGGGTAATATTTATGGCGAACCCAAGGGTGACGTCCTCCTCCGTCCCTTTCACTTTCTGTTTCCCACCGTCTTCTCTCTTGCTGTTCCTCCTTTGCTCACATTGTCTCGTCTTCTTGGTCTTTGGTCGTCGTCGGGTGTCTGTATATGTGTGTGTTTGTGTGTGTGTGTGTTTCAGCTTTTTTTCTTTTTGGAAAAAGCAGCTGAACGCTCGTGAAGCATTAACCCTTTAAAATGCCATCAAAACACGCAATGCACAGGCGATGGCCCTTTAAGACTAATGTGCACTCACTACGAAAGCCGCTCCTGCTCACGTGCCATTGGGTGGTACTCCGTCATGTGACCGGTGCCCTCTCCACGGACAAAGAGATTGTTTCATTTGATCTGTGTGGATGTTGAATCCAGTCATGCGTCACTTAGAAGAAGAAAAAAAAATTTTAAAATCTCACTGTCTCCACCACCGATCAGGCCCGCATCTAATGTCGTTGTTCAGTTTTAGCTTTATGCCCAAAGTCCACTCAGATCTATCAGGTGCGAACAATGAGAGCTCATAGGTCACATCCTCATGCATTCCCCATCATCATGACGTACGATTTGTTGATTGGGATACGTCAAAGAAGCAGTCGGACACAAATATTTATATTTGCTTTTCTGCTAATGGTTGGATGAACTTTTAGGTCCGTGCTGAATGTAAGGGTAACGTATGACGAAGCCTGGACACAAGAGGAAACAGCTAGCCTGGATCTAAGGTGCATCTCAGCACTTAAAGCTCAAGAATTTAGATTTTCGTGGCCGTAGAAAGTAAATGCAGGAGTGTTGTGGCTGCAGATTGTGCTGCAGGGTTTAGAGTTAGTCATTTTTTTGTAATGTTGCAGTATTTTAGTACTAGATACTACTGGAAGGTGCTAAAAATGTGATTATAATAACAAATATATTGCTGCATATCCTTTCTACTGGTTATCGATCATGCTTTAGACAGTATGGTCGTTAAATAAGAATTAAAATGCATTCTCAGCAGCCTCAGATTTCCTGCTGTATGAGGCGTATGAATTGCAAATTGAGGGATACAAGCATATATCTGTGCAGATCCTCAGTCATCTGGATCATGATAACTCTTCAGAGCTTCAGTAAAAAGCTTGAAGATGTTTCACCTCTCATCCAAGACGGAGAACTGAAGAAGCCTCTTGGATTTGAGGTGAAGCATCTTCAGGAACTGAAAAGGAAAAGTCAAGTTCTGCTGAAGAAAAAACAAGCCTGGGCTGTTCAAACGTTTCTGCTGCTGTACAGCCACATAAATATAAAGAGTTACAGCAAAGTGGGGTTTTATTTTATCCCATTTTATCCATTTTTTTAACACTGTGTTGGTGCATTTAGTTTCTTCAAATTTCAGGCCAGGCAAACTGTTTCCTCCTGCTTCCCATCTTTGAATCACGAGATGATTGTAATTGATTTAAAAGAAACACAAACAAGCCAGTTGTTTGTTATAGTCGATTGATCACAAGGTGCAGTCAGACCATTCTGCACAGCGCTGAGTCAGGATTAGAAAATGGAGAGACCTCAGAGGGTTAAACCAAAGAGAGGTGGTTGCATAGAAGATCATGTAACTTGTGGGCCGACCTTCGTAGATGAAACAAATGAGAAACAACCAGTTAACGAGCTTTAGAGGTGCTGCTGGAAGGATTTTGTTTCTTCTGGGACGAGCCAGGCCAGCTGTTTCCCATCGTTGAACTGCAAGATGATTGTGATCGGCATAAAGAAATGCAAACAAGCCAGATTGTTTTATTTCCCCCTATGGCAGAATGATATTGAGGTGCAGTCAGGCCATTCTATACAGCACTGTGCCAGTAGTACAGAATGGTCCAGCTACGTGAGACTGCAAATCAGAGGGTTAAACCAAAGAGAGGTGGTTTCATAGAAGGTTGTGTGATTTCTGGGCCGACCTTCATGGATGAAACGAATGAGTTAATTGAGCTTTAGGGGTGCTGCTGGACGGATTTCGCTTCTTTTGGGCCAGGCCAGCTGTTTTCACCAGTTTCCTGCCCAGAGTTATTTCCCCCCTGTAGCACAATGATGTGAAGCTAGAGTCAGACCACTCTACACAGCGCTGTGCCGGTAGTACAGAATGGTCTGACTATGTGAGACTGCAAATCAGAGGGTTAAACCAAAGAGAGGTGGTTTTATAGAAGATTATGTGAATTGTGGATGAAACAAATGAGAACGAGTGAGCTTCAGCGAGCTTCTCAGTCTTCACCGGCTGCTCCGTCAACATCTGACTCTTAGCAGGAAAGCCAATAAGCCCGTTTCCCAAACTGTTGATCCAGTGCTTTGAGACGCACTAAGCTGTCCAGTGTAAAGGCCAATGACACGCTGCATGAACACACTCCAACACAAAGCAGAAAAAAAAGTAAAATTTAAAAAAAAAATGAATCTGATAGCTTCCCATGTGACACCGGGTCCACCGTCACCTCGCCGACCTCCACCTCAACATTCCATGGAACATACATTCCAAACATCACATTCCAGAGCGGGTGTGAGAGTGCCCTCCTGTATCTCATGATGCACCAGGTGTGGGTGAACCGCTGACTTCATGTTGCCTCGTAGCGCGATGCCGCAAAGCCAATGCAAACTCCTCCGCCGCCTCCCCCCTCCTTGTCCCTCTTTCCTACTCCCACCGCCCCCCCATATCTTTTCCCCGCCCTCGGTCGACTCCCACCAGCCAGAGGAAGGCAAAAAGGGCAGACAATATGCAACCAGACTGCCAACACCTGAACCCCGGCCGTGAGAGTAGAAACAGCGAGAGAACATGTCTGTCCTGCTAGTTCTGTTTCAGGATGCGCGCAGGGCTCTCTGGGAAACACCCCTCCTTACCTGTACAGAACTCTGTCTTCTTTGAATGCTCATCATCATCGTCGCCACCCTCGACCCGGATGGCGACACTGTATCGGTCTGTCTGTTTTGAAGCATGCATTTGGTATCATTAATGTCACTCTTTATGTGTTGGTAAATCATTTAGGCTACTGTCACTTCTGTGTGCTATGATCTCTCCACATCTGCTCTCTCACACACACAAACACACACAAACACATCCTGTAACCTGTTTCTATTTCAGCACCTCTGAGCACGGCTACATCAGTGCTTTCTGCGGTATTAAAAACAACAAAACACCAAAAAAACAAAACAAAAAAAAACAACGACAGACACCAAACGACAAGGGGGAGGGGGAGGGAGGGGGATAATCTACAGTGGTGTAAATTAGACTGTCCAGTTCCAGCCATCTCTGTCCATCCGTCCAGCACATCATGATGTTGTGAGACAGTTTCACAGAAGGCAAAACCACAATGTGAAAAAGAATATATTATTTATCAGAATTATAAAATTGTACAACTGCACCACTACTGTACAGATCGCCCAAATGTGCACATGTGCATCTTTGATTTTACAGGTACTATGTTCCTGTTACACTTTTTTCTTTTTTTTAATTTATATATATTTTTTTCTTTTATTTTACTCCTTTTTGCTTTTTGTAAAGAGAGGAACAACAAAATGGAAGCGCTTGTATATTATGATTATTATTATTATTATGATTATTATTACTATTATTTTTTTTTCTCCACCGGTGCTCCCACTGATGGAAAAAGACAGTTGCACATTCTCCTGAGCATATTCTGAGGGCTGT